CGAGAGGACCCAAACAATTCGTGTGCCGCAATTGATGCGACAGTGTGGCGTTAAGGCAAGCCTGCACCAGGGTCAACCGTCCGTTGGACAAAGTCCAACGCGACGACGAGAGTAATGCCGAGAGTGAACGTACGCACGGAGACACAGACGGCTCGCGGGTGGCGAGAGTGAATGCCGGCGCGGAGAGCGGTCAACATCGGTCCAACGTCGCTCCAATATCGGTCCAACGTAACGGTTGACCCTGCTTGCACCCTCGCCGCGCATGTTTGAGTCGCGGTAGTGTCGTGGCTCGTGAGCTCGGCGAGTGCTCTTACTTACTTTGGGAAGAACTACCTCTTGGCATCTAATCCTGACCCGTGGCTTCGAAAAAAAGGCTGCGCACAGCTAGTCCAGCTGTCTATCCGTAAGATAGTGGTAGTTATTCGTATCGGCAAAAGAACTGTTGGTGTGTGGTGAGGTTCACTTTTAGGACTGGTGTTTTACTCGCGGTCGGCTCGCTTCCTCTCCGACACTCATTATGGCTGCTGGCGGCAATGGGGAAGGAGTAAGTGAACCCTTTTCGCTATGGTAGCAAAGTAACGGACCAGCTTTGGACGAGGTAATTCCAGAATGGACAAATGGATCTCGAAATCCCTATGGAAGAAGGAGAGCCGCTTGGAGCGACACCTAACGATAAGCTTATCATTACTAAAATACAAGGCGGTACCATTGCTGACGGTAAACTAAAGGTACGAGTAAGGTGGCAGTTGGGCTAAACGGCGACCAAAGACGGAGTGGAGCGCTCACTTTCGACGCTACCACTTCTTCCTGTGCGCTACTTGTAGCAGGAAGTCGCGGTTATTAATCCTCAACTCAATCTCGTCAAAATAACCACTTCAATTCATAGATTGGCGATCAAATTCTCAAAGTGAACGGACAGCCGATCACTGATCAGAACAACTTTTTCAAAGCACTTCGTTTCGCTCCACCATTAGCGAGACTTACGATCCTGAGGTGAGGGACTTTGACCGTTTTCGTACACAGTAAACACTTTCAGAAGGTTCACACCAACTGGTAGGTCAGATTGGGCGAGAGGAAGGCAGCTAGAGCATAGCTCCTCAAGGTTGACGACTCGGGCACCTAGGCGAATAAGCGCAGTATGTGATTAAGCTAGTCAGACTACATACATAGCAGTTTGATTGCCTTCATCCTCTTTATGCCGATGTCAGACTTTGTTCCAGCGATTGACTATCGTTCGAGGTCGCGTCGCGGCCAGCGAATTTTCGAGTCGGTACCGCATCGCTACCGCGGACACTAGCGATTCCCTCGATTCGCAGTCTGATATCGGCCTTAGCGATGCCTAAATATGACACCCACACCGCCCAGCGTCGATGCATTAATGGATGACTCTGTGATATTGATTGGGATACGTATCAGATGTGCTCCAAACAAAACATCTAAATCTAGACGTTCATCGATCGAAGTCTAGGAGTTCATTCGCACCACAGTATAAGTTAGATGGTCGTACACTCGGGTATCATTGGGTTTATGAAAGCCTGTATCGATCCCTACAAATTTCTTTCACTCATTATCAGAATCCTGGTACCATTACCATTTCCTAGCATGATCGGTGCATCATAATTGCAAAAATCGCAGCACAATTGGGAAACTCTGCACTCAGACGCCCTTTATCAGTCTCTATCAGACACTATCAGTTCATGACCCCCCCACACCGTCCCGCCCCTTATCACATGTAAGAACCAACTTTTGACGGTTGCCGCAAGTGGCGCAACCAAGTGATGATAGATTAATCTGATCACTCTCATCGGCCGTAATAACCGTTGTCATCTTCAATAATTCACCGTCCCGTGTTCTCGTCCAACTCCACATCCGCCATGTAAGAACCTATGTTCCACTGCCAGCACGAAGGCCGCAACAATTGGTACTACCCTCCTTACCAAACTCTTGTCTGCCATTATCGGCTATTATCACTTTTCATCAAGCACTATCCGTTTCTCCATCCAACCCCCTGTACAACATATAAGGGCCAAGGTTTCAGTGTCACCGCAAAGGGCCATAACGAAAGTTCACACTCCGACGCGTCTTATCAGTTCTTATCAGTTGCTATCACTTTCTATCACCTACCATCTTGGTCCTCTTCTTACCCCAAATGACACATGTGAGCGTAAGGATTCTACTGTCAACGCAAAACGCGTAACTAAGTTTCGCAACTAAGTTTTTGGTGATTGCGCTTCGACGCCTTCTCTTAGCGAACGTTAGATCCAGTTCCGCCACACAATCGTATACAGCGACGCTCAAAAGTGTTCGACCAAATGCTTTTTCGACCGTAGCTTTCTTTCTGCAAATCAAATCAGTTCAATTTTTAATGTTTTAGAGGCAAGCCTTCTTCCACTTAGCAAGTGTATTACTGTTGAATGGGAGAAAGAATTTCGGAAGAAAAAATTGTTACTTTAAAAAGACCGAATTCCAAGTAGATTCCAATTCATTGTAAAAAGCTTACAATTCAACAAAACAATCCACCGCATAACAGGAAAAGTTAAATAAATTCAATACTTACATGATAAGCTTCTGGAGTTGCGAAAACCTCAACAAGGTCGAAGGGGTGTGGGTACTTAGGACAGAAAGCGACATTTTCGCGCTTCGCAATGCGACATCGCGCGGCAGGCCAGCGCTCCCACAGCGAAAACAGCTACGGTACGAGGGGCGCGTGAATGGAGCGCGTTATTTGCGGAATTTGAAGCTTACTAACCATGGACTTGATAGTGAACGAGGAAATGGCCACCAGAAGAGGACCACTAAATAGCAGTGAAGAAAGAGGTAGGTTAATTTTGCAGAGGATGGATGGTAGACCCTGGAAGAGGAGTGGTTGATGGACGTTCGATGAGACTCACGACAAAGGATCAGTTCGTCAGAGTTTGCTATGATATATAGAGTATTACCTAGGCCGATGAGTGTGTAATTACCTCGTTCACCAATAATTTGAAGTGTTCTAGAATTCTAGAATACCACTTTAACGGCATCGCTCGGAATCGTGTAATTCACAAAACATTTCCATTGATGAGAGAGAATTGGTGATTCACCGCATGTCTCAATACAATGAGTGTGAGCGTGGGCAAGCAATAAATCAGAAACTTACAAATTCACGCATGCAAAAAAGCTGCTCCAATCGCGCGTTCTTCATACCGTAGTGTTTTCGCTGCGGGAGCGCTAGCCTGCCGCGCGATGTCGCATTGCGAAGCGCGAAAATGTCGCTTTCTGTCCTAAGTACCCACACCCAGGTCGAAGTGTGGATTCAATCACTGATTCCACTGTCAATTGGGACAACCTCCTCAAATTTTCCTCAAATTTGACGCGTTTTCTTCCATATTCCTGACTCTTTCCCCTGCCGAAGGTTTCCCTACCTTCTTCCATAGTGTTTCGATGACGCTCAGGACATGTGGCTGAATTGGTCCCTTCATTAGAAGCACGCCATGCTGGCGAAACCACTCCTTCACAGTGGAGATACGATGTTTTTGGTCGCTCCATTGCTAGAAGAGAAGACATTACGAGCAGTTGCCATACATGTGGATACACAACACCCTCTAGAAGCTAAACGTATACGGTCCGCCTTCACCAGTTCGCGAACCTGTGACTTTGTCCGGTTTTGAAGTGGTATGAGATGGAACGGGCTTACGCACATCTGAGATGGAGATCTCCATAGGGTTCTAACGTCATCTAGAGCGACGAGAGTACGTTTAGGACGTTTGGCGGTGGCGGCGGTAACAAAGTGTGGGGTCCTGATGGGAGGCGTTTTGATCGGAAGTATCAGCTGCCATCCTTGAAACTAGGCGGAGGCTCGGTCATGGTAGGCCGTACAAGAAGCTGTACCGCTGCATAGGATCGAGAAGGTGTGAAGGCGGACGTACAAACTTAGGTTCTGGAAGGTGTTATGTATCCACACGTATGGCAACTGCACGCTAAGTCTTCGTCTTCTAGCATGGAGCGACCAAAAGCATCGCACCTCCACTGTGAAGGAGTGGCTTCGCCAGCATGGCGTGCTTCTAACGGAGGGACAATTCAGCCACATGTCCTGAGCGTCATCGAAACACTATGGAAGAAGGTAGGAAACCTTCGGCAGGGAAAAGAGCAGGAATATGGAAGAGAAACGCGTCCAATTTGAGGAAAATTTGAGGAGGTTGTCCCAATAGAGTGGAATCAGTGATTGATTCCACACTTAGACCTTGTTGAGGTTTTCGCAACTCCAGAAGGTTATCATGTAAGTATTGAATCTGTTCAAGTTTTTCTATTATGCGGTGGATTGTTTTGCTGAATTGTAAGCATAGTCAACTCTGCGTTGCGCACTTTTCAACGACCACGTTGCGCAGTTTCGCCCGATT